TGCACACACTACTTAGCCTCCTCAAGATGCCAGACACCCATCCTTCCCGTTTGTAACATTCAAAGGAGAAAGTACGTACAGTTTTATTTCGTAATCGAATAATATCAGACACGGATCCAGCACCGCAGTATTCCATGACTATCCACAGGTCTGTGTTCTTAAAGTAGCTGCCGTAATACTTCACCACATGAGGGCTATGAAATGTGAAAAGGGAGAAGAAACCAAAGGGTCAAATACTGACCAGCACAACTGAAAAAGCAAAACACGCTGCTGACCCCCTAAGCAGGCTTTAAAAATTCAGAGTCAAAGTGCCACTGAAACCCTGACCAAAAGCGTTCCAAATCAGTCTGAACTTTCACAGGGCTACTGCAGTCCTGCCAGGCCTCTTCCCTGCTATGGTGCTCAACCAACCTGCCAAGAAGTCGATTCAGTGAGTTAAAATGTCTGAAAAATGAGTCCTACTGAAATAAGGAAGGGCTAGCATTCAGTCTTGTTTAGCTCCCAGAACCAGATTAATACAAGGTCAGTACCACGGTGGGCAAGAAGGCAGGGCACCAAGGGAATGAGAAATGGATCACAGCAGTCCCTAGTAAAGTTGCTGCAGAGCATTTGCAATCAAATGGAAACATTAAATAAGGTCAAAAGTTTGCTAGAAAATAGCTATGGGGTTTCTTAAGAGGAATATTCCCCCATTACCACATACACCTTCTTGTCTCTACAATTTAGTTCAGGAACATGATGTATTTTAGTAATCCTGTACAACTTAAACACCCTCATACAGTCAGTTGTCAGAATGCCCAAAAAGCAAACAACCTGACTATAGTGTACTTCGTTAGAATGACCATCTGCCCTTTGGGAAAGGCAAAGCTAAAAACTAACAGAAAGAACCTTTCTGATTTTGGGGGATGAAAGTTAAAGAATAAAAGTGCACTTACTCTATTCCCTGCCAAATATTTCCTAATGAAGAAATGCAAGACCAGCAACATCAAAAAGTCAGTGCTCCTTAATGTTTGCACAGAAAATCTGATGTTCCTTTGATTCGCTCCCTCTGCTGTTCATAACTGTAAAATCTCATTTTAGGACTTACACTGTTAATATTTAATTTCTTTTTAAGGAGACACCTATTAATGCTTTCCAGGTTACACAGTAAGACTTTTCAAGAACAAATTCTTTAAAAGTTTCATTTCGTGCCACCAGTCATCTTCGTTTAAAGATAGTGAGAGTGAAATGCAATAGAGTGACTGGGACCATAGCTTTATGTTGCTAATGAGTTATTTTAAATGGTTTTCTCTGCCTGAAGTCTATCAGAATAGCATTTCATAAGGCTAGACTCACAGTATCAGAAGAAATTTGTATATTTTAAACTTCCAGCCTAGGATACACTTTGACAGGGGGTCTTCTGCTCCTGGTCTTATCTGGCTAAGCTCATAAAACATCTTTTCCCACAAGAAACATGCAGAAACAACCCAGAGAGCCAAACATCAGCCCAAAGTTATTCTGAGCATGCTAACGTGAGCAGACAGCTTGTAACGCACTATAACCCACACGGGCAGAAAGTGGCCCTGTGAAGGACAATGTAGATGATGCACATGCAAGAGCAGTCATGCATTAGTGGCTCTCATCCACATGCCTCTTAAAAAAAAAAAAAAAAAAAAAAAAAAAAAAAAAAAAAAAAAAAAAAAGAACATAAAAAAAAAGCAAAACCAAACTCTTCTCCTAACCGTTTCTATGTCCACACCAAAACCTGTGTGTAACTCATTACCCCTCGGACACGGGAACCGCTGCTCTAACCCACAATCAAGTTACCACTGCTCAACGAGTTCCAGCGCGTCGGGACAGCTGCAGGAACTGCTCACACGCCCCGCTCGTTGCCAGCAGCAAGCGCAAGGTTATTTCACTTAGTTAGCTTAAGGCTCTCGCACTGCAAGCTTAATTTTTGTTGTCTTACCTTTGCTTGAATTAACACTACCCAAATGGTGGGTTAACATGACTCAGTTGATACGAGGTAACTTGACCGTACAAGTCCAGCCTTTTAAAAAACATTTAAGGCAACATCATCGCTTTTATGTGATTAAATGCCAGATCACAGGCAATACTTTTCTTTGCATACTGATGATAGGTTTCACAGAATACATTTACCTGTCACATTGCTGCATTATGGATATTTCCTTTATAATCTCTTGCAGGTCAGATTCCACAGGAACTTGTTTAATTGCAACAACTTGACCCGTTTCTTTATGAATAGCTTTGAACACGCTGCCATAGGAACTATGAAACAAAATAGCAAACAATGAATAAAAGACTGTTTTAAGAATGCAAATGTTATGCTTTTTGCAAGAGTGTACTTTGGGGAAAGAACAGTAATACCTCCTGCAACAAATATTTTTACATTAACTTAAATAGTCTGTCCTCAAGCTTGTGAACACTATACATGTAACAGGGTGCTGAGATGGTCAGAAAGGAGACAATCATCATTATGTACCCATAGATTTGGAAGGGCCTTTGACGCAAATCCAGCCAAAGCAGCATCTCTTTCTCCAGCATACGGTACCAGCTAAGCAGCACTAAGAACAACAGCTCTGGTCAGAGAGCTCTGCTCGCTCTTGTCAGATATAATTTGTCTTATTTCCAGCTTCTTTGCTTACAGCAGCCAGGCAGAATTCCCACTCAGTTTTTCAAATGAACTGCTTAAGGTGGCAAACACATCGCTTACTGAGTGTTCTCAAACTGCTCTGCCTGAGCAACTGGCACAATGACACCAAATTTCCTACCCGCCACACAGATCTTCCACAAGAGGTACCAGGGATGAACTGCAAGACCTCCTGAGTTCCCACAAAGCACTCCAATTTGCCATTTTTCAACAACATTTTGACTGCCTTCTGCTGAATCATAAGCTACTGCTTGGTTTAATTAAGACATCTTACTCCTGGCAAACAAAATATTTATTCTGTTACTAACCAAATGCACTCGTTACACTAATGCATACTTTTGCAGCAATAGGATCATGACAAAGTGAAAAATCAAAGACCAAATCCATCACACACATCTGCCCTTTGAAAAATGTACTTTGGGCCCACTGTAATAGAGCACATACCCTTCTCCAAGCTTCTCCAACACATCAAATACTTCTTCAGGTTGTTTGGTTAAACTGTCTTCATCTAACTTCTTCAGCTGCCTGTATACGTAAGAATAGAGAAATGACTACATTTAATTTTATTGCAAATAGGGGCTCTGCTGAAACAAAAGAATAAATAATGACAATTAAGCATCTGGAAGGCTAGCATAAAGTTTATTATCAAATAAGTTTATGTCATGCGATCAGAAGACCAAATATTATCGTTATCTAATAGCAAAAGAGGACTGGGAGTTACAGAGACCAGAAGTTATTCAGACACACAGATCCACAGTGCCTCTTTGTGGACTGCATCTGTGGATCTACATGCTGGTGGTCAATCCCAACTTGGCACTGCAGTCTCTTGTAGCTATTGAACATACCTGCTAACGTTCAAAATTTTGCATGGAAGGTAAGTACTAAGGCTATGCAAAAGGGAACACCGTCTTCTTTGTGGTCTTACGGTATGTACGGAATACATCTGTTGGGAGGATGCAGGCAATACCGATCGGACTTGTCCATTTTTAAGGACATTAGTTCAGATACTGGCTTTGTGCCAGTAGGAAAATGCTATTAGGGGAAAGGAAAAAAAAAAAAAACTGGGGAGGGGAAGGAAACTTATCTGACTATGAGGATCTTAATGCTGCTCGGTCTGTTCCTCTCAAATGCACTGCTAAGGGGCTGCTGAGATACCTTGTAGGTGTCGAGGTAATTTTAGTGCCAGGTGCTGGGATCCTTCACCTACCAGCCCCCACCCCAGCACAACCTCCAGGGAGATTCCCTGCAGAAAGCAACCAGAAAATCTTCGTGCCTGTTCCAGCTCACTTCTACCACACCGGAGAGCTGCTCGCCAAGAACCTTCCTAAAGCAGCTAAACACGACGTTCGTATTTCTAGAAAATTATCAAAGTAATATGCACACACACTACAAATATATGAAATAGTCCTGAAAACAAACTCTTTTACTGTCAAACAAACAGCACCCAACCGCCCACAAGCAAGGTTTTTGCACAGACTACCAGAAAAACTGACTGCTGCCAGAGAAACCCGGAGAAACCCGGAGCCTGCCCTGCCCTGACCCCCAGGACCTGGTGGGTGCAGCAACCAGCGTTTACGATGAAATACGCGGGGCTGCAAAAAGCTCTCACTGCTGCTCTTAAAGTCCGCTGCTTCAGGCACGGGTGACTTTTGAGGCTGAACGCGTGTTTTTTTTTTCCCCCAGTTTTTAATCAGCGGAGCCAAAAGCTGCTGGTGGGCCCCGCTCGCTCCGTTTCCGAGCGCAGCCCCGAGCATGGCTGCTGAGGGGAGGAAGCAGAGGCAGGGGCAGGGGCAGGAAGTGGCGAAATGCCGCCAGCAGCAGCCGCCCGGCCCCGATAAGGGCTCAGCGGGGAAGCTGCCCTCGGGGAGCGGCGGGGACCGGCTGCGGGAAGGGGCGGGAGGCGAGCGCCCACCGCGGGCACCACGCACAGGGCGCTCGGAGAGCGGCGGTGCCAGAGGCGGGGTCCCACCGCGGAGGTTAAAACAAGGCCGAAATGATCCCGAGGGGAGCGAAAGGGCAGGGTCTGACGCCTGATTCCAAACCCCATCGCCGCCCTGACCGCGACCTGCCCCGCTCCTCCCGACCCCGGCAGCGAGCCCGCCCCGCCGGGCAGCGCCGGGCAGCTGAGGCGCGGCTCCCCCGGGGCTCCCCTCGCTGCCCCCGTCCCTCCGTGCCCGGCGGGGCCGAGGAGCCTCCCACCGGAGCCCCGTCCCCCCCAGTCCCCTCCAGTCCCCCCCCGTCCTTACCGGCGCGGGTTCCGCAGCTGCACCCCGTCCATGGCGCCGCGGGGCCGGCCGCTCCCTCACCGCCTCCCTCCCGCCTCCATGGCAGCCCCGCCGCCCCTTCCGCTCCGCCGCCGGAAGGCTCCGGGGCTGAGCCCGGCCCCGGCGCCGTCTCCCTGAGCCCCGCTCCCGCTGCACGGCCCCGGTCTCGCCCCCGGGATGGCGGCGGGGGGCAGCAGCGCCAGCGCCCTGCGCCGAGCCGGCAACGAGGAGTTCCGCCGCGGGCAGTACGGGCCGGCCGCGCAGCTCTACGGCCGGGCGCTGGCGCTGCTGGAGGACGCCGGTGAGGAGGGGACGGGGCCGGGAAGGGGACCGGGAGGGGACCGGGGGGTGCGGGGACGGAGCCTGAGCCTGAGCCCCTCCGGTGTGCCGCGCAGGGGAGGCCGCCGCCGAGGAGAGGAGCGTGCTGCTCGCCAACCGCGCCGCCTGCCACCTCAAGGAGGGCGCCTGCCGCCTCTGCGTCACCGACTGCTGCGGGTGAGCCACGAGGGAGCGGGGGGACGGCACCCCGGGGGGCTTCACCCGAGGAGGGTTTCACCCAGGGGGACTTCGCTCAGGGGGGGTTCACCCCAAGGGGTTTTCGCCCGGGGCGCTGGACCCCCCCCGTGCTGCAGCAGCAGAGCAGCGCCCGCTGGAAGCAGCCCCCGCTGGTAAATGTTGGTGCCTTGCACCGCTTCGGCACCACCCCGGGGCAGAAAAAGCACCGCTCGCCTTTAATCGGTGGTGTGAGGTTTGCAGGGGTAGCCCCCACAGCTGCCTTCTTGGGAATTCCCTTCTTTTGCCTTGTGCCAGTCAGTCCATTCCTTTAGGAAATGAGCCCAAAAAAAGCTCGCTGCCACAGGATCTCTTCCCACAGCACCGAATCGCTTGAAGTGCACACACAGACTGATCCCGCTGCCCGGTATTTCCCAGACCAGGCCCATTGGATGCCGTGTAGGAAGGTATCCGGGGACTTGTGCCGGGGTTTCACAGGCTGTGGCACCGTCTCGCCCCTCACAGCGCGCTGAAGCTGGTCCCGTTCAGCATCAAACCCCTCCTGAGGCGGGCGGCAGCCTACGAGGCTCTGGAGAGCTACCAGCTGGCCTACGTCGACTACAAGACCGTGCTGCAGATCGACTGCTCCATACAGGCGGCTCACGATGGTGTCAACAGGTAATGCTGAATGCGCTCTGGAGGGAAGGCTCGGGAGCAGAGCGGCTCGGTCAGCGGCTGCTGGCAGCCCTGCTCCGTGTCTGCAGCCATGCCAGGAGCAAGCCGCGTCCTGAGCGCTTTAATGGAACGAGCGAGGCCCCGGCGCTTTGTGCGAAGGGCAGGCTTGGTCATGCTTCCTGTGTGCTAACGCCCTTAGCTCCTTTTCCAAGCTGCCGGTACATTGTTGAGGGCTGGGAATGTTTTCCCTGGAATTTTCTGCTTAGTCTAGTCCCTGTTTTAAAGGAATAATAATCTTACAAGTTCCAGCATCCTGTCCTATAAGCCTTCCTATGCTGACAGGGATTACAGGCTGCCGTAGGCGTTTTCTCTTCCTGGAGAAAATTCTGATTCACTTCGTTACTTGCCAGGCTGAGGAATAACCCATGCATCACTTGCCCAGCTGAGCACTGACAGCCCCAGCCCTCATCCTATGGTATTTTTGGCCCTACTACCAAGAAGATGTTCCTTTCGTTAATTCCCTGTCTGTAGAAGGAGTTTAGTCTAGCTGCATGTCACAGGGTTAGTGGAGAGATGCTGACCTCGGTATGAGCCAGGTTATAAAGTGACCCTGCTGCCTAGCAAGTGGCCCATCCAGCCAACAGACAGAGCAACCGCCGGCCATCTCTTCCAGAATGACTAAAGCCCTGCAGGAGAAGGATGGTGTGAACTGGCGCGAGAAGCTCCCACCAATTCCCACAGTTCCCATTTCTGCCCAGAAGAGATGGAACGCTCCTTCTGCAGCAGCCCCCGCCACAGATGTGCCCCCTGGGAGCACGTCGCAGGGACACCCAGGTGAGAGCACGTCCCTGGCCGTGCACAGCCCTTCAGCTCAGCAGGGTGATGGCAAGCGAGGCGGCTGCCATCCCTGCTTGGTGTGTCTGCAGCCTGAGATCTGCAGAAACCTGGGCCTGGTCGCTGGTTCTGCCACAGCCTGCTTGGTTGATGCTGGATCCTTTGATCGCTCTGCCTCCCCTCTGTGTATAGAGGAGCTATTTGCTTTCTGAGAGGCTGCTCTGATCTTATCAGTTTTACAGCATTCTGTGTTCTTTCACACCGTTTCCAGACCAGATTGCTGCTGGTGTAGAGAGAGCTCGAACTCTGAAGGAAGAAGGAAATGAACTCGTAAAGAAAGGAAACCATAAAAAGGCAATTGAGAAGTACACTGAGAGTTTAAAGCTCAATCAGGAATGCGCAGCTTACACCAACAGGTACTCCTCAGCTCTTTGCCCAAGTACTTTTGGGCCCTTTTTAAAAGCCACCATGGTACTTCATCTGACAAGGCTGCCTGAGGTTTGCTCCCAGACAACTGGATAAAAAACACACCAACAAAACACCCACACACGTTCCCCCTAGTGCAGTCTTCCAAGTAGATTGTATAATGTTCTTTGATCAGATGCTGCAAAAGGCCCGGAGACACTCAGCTTGGGATTGCTAGGGGGGTTCTCCCTTTAATGCTTGTCTGCCAGGACTGCGTTATTCTGAGTAGTGTCTGCTGCCCCATGAATCACAAAGCGCACGCTGCTCTACTCAGAGTACTTCCAAGACAAGCAGGGCATGTTCTAGACTGGTACAGCTACAAACCTCCACCCTTGAAGTGCAGGCTGCTCTATTTATTGCTGTAAAAATCATTTTTTTTGCAGACTGAAAAACTAATTTTTGTCCTTCTAACTGAAACAAGTGTTGAGCTGAAAAAGTAACATGTCAGGACAGAGATTGTTTAGGGACTCCAGCTTTGTCCTGTGCTGGGGTTAACTAAGATCTCTGCGCGTTGCAGCAGCAGATGCTGCTTTTAGACAAAGCTCTCTAACCAGCTATTTGTATGGCAGAGCTCTCTGTTACCTGACGCTGAAGCAACACAAGGAAGCAGTACAGGACTGCACAGCAGCTCTGAGATTAGATCCTAGAAACATCAAGGCATTCTACAGACGTGCTCAAGCACTTAAAGAACTGAAGGTAAGTCAAGAGTTTTTTTTAGCTTTAAGCTAAGATTAGGGACCTGTTAATGCCCTGTAGACCATTTGGTTGGTGCTGGATGACGCCTGCCATCAAATAGTGGAGACCCGTGTGGAGTTGAAGGGGATTGTCCTTTTGTCCTTTACCTTAGTGTTTACTATTTGGATCTCATGAGTTTCTCAGCACTGGGTCTTGTTTCTTGAGGTACTGGAAGCAGCTAGACATTATGCAGTTTTATCATTCCACATGCAGGGGAGATTCTGTCGGCAGTAGTGGCAGACTTACTGCCTTGGTGTTGCACTCAGAACCCACTCGTGCACAGTGAAATTGTCTTTTCAGCCCTAGTTCAAGCGTGTTTTCAACAGTTACATTGATGCTTGTGTTCAATCAATTAATTATGCAGAGGGAGTCCCAGGTTTAGCCCTGTTGTCTTTGCCTCTGCTACCAAGTGCTACAGGGCCTTAGGCACTGAAAATGTATTTTCAGTGCACTAACACTTAAAAATTCTTTTTCTAGGATTACAAATCAAGTATTGCTGACATCAACAGCTTGTTGAAAATTGAACCAAAGAACACAGCTGCACTGAAATTACTGCAAGAACTGAAGAGAGCCTAGGATAACCAACAAGGAAAGCTTTTTCTTCTGCAGAATAAAGCTTTTTTCCTTCTGAGGTTGTTGCAGGGACCAATCTTAATGCAGGATGGGTATTGAAATCTACCTTCAACTGCTGCTGAGATGTAGTAGGTTCTGTGCCAGCACAATCAATGTCAAGATACAGAGTCTGTATCAAACTTGATTATATGGCTCAAAGATCATTAGAAGATTTAATGCCACTATGTAAGAGGCATATAGGTCAGCTTCCCTGGCTGAAGTCAAGGTGCCTGTAACTACTGGCCTCAGGGATTCTGCATGTGAAGTGGCTGTTCTTGCTGAAGAGCTACAAACTGAGGTGTTTTTGTTAGTCCTTATTCAGGTGACAGTTTTGCTGCATTTGTGCTGCTATTACTTAACTAGGGTTGCTGACAGGCTGCTGCCTGAGCACTGCATACCCCTCTTAGACCCAAGTCACGGTTACTTGCACAGGGTTGAGCATGTTCCCTCTCCTACTTGATACCTGCTGGCCCTCAGCTGAATTTCTGCTACTTAGTGTGACTGGGCAGGTGTTTACAGCAGCAGCTTTCTTTTATTTCTAATTGTTCTGCAGATATAAGAAAACTACAAGTTAAACCTGCCTTGTTACACAGTGCACTACTTCTGTGAGATTACAGGTGCTCAGGCATTTTACAGCCTTTTTTGTTGTTTTTATTTGGTTTGTTTTAAACTTTAGCTTGTCTGTGCCTTCTGGAGCAGTTGCTGCAGGGTGTTACAGGGACTAGGGTATGCAGTAGTATCAGAGCTGAGGCCTGGCTTACTATTTCAATGCATGTTTATACTTTTTTTCTTACAGTATTGATGGCACTGACTTAAAATGGTAGATACAAAGAGGGTTGGAGTTATTCTATGAACTGTTAAAACTGTTCACATTAAAGCCTTGTTTATTTTCACTCTAGCTGTGTGTTTTTTATGGGATGGAAGGTGTTGGAAAACTGGAACACTTTCTTACTGCTTTACTTCATTCTGCCTCCACTTGTTAGAGCAGTGCTTGAATTCCTCTGACTGCCTTGCTTTGGAAGCCAGCCGCCAGACAGCAGCCTCCACCCATTGCTCAGTCTTACCCCGTGTACCAGCTGTAGCGCTTTTACCAGTAGAGTCATGATGGTGAACAATTGACCTCAATCAGCTGCTTACAATAGAGACAGAAGCTAGCCTCTAAGTCCAGGTTTGAGTACCTTTCCCCCCACCCCCTTATCTCTCCCAGCCATTAGTGCTCCAGGCTGTGTTCCATTGACCTGAACTTAGAAGGCAGGCATCACTTACGCTGTTACCCTCAAGTAAGACAAAGACTTATCTTAGCTTGACGTAGCTCTTTGTAGATCCCAGCCTGTACACCATCAGCTGGAACACACAAGGGTTTGAAACACCACCTCCCCCAGGGGCATGAGTTGCTTGGTTTGCTCCATTCCTCTGAACACCACAGCTCATTGATCCTGCCAGCACCATTTCCCCAAGCTATTTGCAAGCTAGGCAGGTGGATTTCAGGGTGGGGCAGCACAGGCCAGCAGTGCACAGATAGGCAGAGGAAAGTCTCAGAACACAGGAAGAACTATCTGCTCTTATAAAGAGTTCTCCTTTTAACAGCCGTGCTGTTATCAGGACCGGCAGATACCTGCTCTGTTCATGTGAGTGCTGCTGCTTGGACCCACCATCTCTTCCCTCTCTAAGCACAGAATGCTTTTTTTCCCCGCCCACCGTATCTCTAAGGCTTTCCCCACTGAAGTGCAATGCCACCAGATAGACACAGATCAGGCACAGCAACAAGACACCGTGCTTCAAGTCCAGCAGCACTTTTGCCCATGTCCCCTTCTGTTCCGGGAAGGGTGCTGCTATCTGCACACGATGCTCCCAGGCACCCGAAGGTACTGCTATCCACACAGGCAGCTGGAGAGTGCCTGTCACAGAGGCGTGCCTCCATCCACCCTTTTCAAAAGGGGCAGCAACTATTCCAACCTAGACTCATGCGTGCATTGTTGCTCCTGCCACAGCTTGCTAAAGCCTCAGACACTCCTAAGGAGCTCAGAGAGCTACTCTGAAACTTTCCAGTATTGTCCCTGTCTTACTACACAAGGATCCAAGTGGCAAGTTTACCTTTTCAATTAAAAGTTTTAAAAACGTTGTTTGTTCGTGTTCTTTCTTAGGCTGTTCCATATTCTGCCTCTTCCTGCACCCCCCACTTTGAATTCCCTCTAGGTTTACAGCTGCCTGCCTCAGCTAAGGCATCCAGCACTGGCAGTGGTGGCACAGGCACATCTCAGCTGATCCGTTGCATCTGAACAACCATTTCTGACTCAAATTAAGCAACAGAATTAATTTCACTTGTACAATTCTGTCCCAGTTATTTATATGCATAACTGATATGCTATTTACATTTTTTTTCCTCCTTTGCATCAAATAGATTTAGTTCTTTGTAGACTTATCAGTGAGATGTTTAAGTAGTACACAGTTCAGGCTGCAGGGCATCCTCTGTAACAAAAAGAAATACTTAAGGAGATCAGAGCAGGAATGAAGAAAAGCCCCAGGAAAGAATCCCAGCTGAGCGGAACATACACCATGGAAGAGCAAAGACGTAAGTGCTATTGAAATGCTGGAAGGAAAACAAGAGGTAGGAGGGATGAATCAGCAATGAGCTGAAGTCAGGGTATGATACAGCACAGAAGCAAGCCCAGGAGAGCAGCACCAGCACACACACTGGATAGGAAGCAGGTAGCTTGTGCTGATGGAGGTGTGCTCCTATAGACTAGGAAAAGCGGTCAAATAAGGTCAATACATTGACAGCACGGAGGAGCCTCCAGGGAATGGAATTCCATTCCTAAATAGGAAGAGCAAAGCATTAAGGCCAGGATGACTAGAGCAACTGCAGCAGGCTCCAGGAGAGGCTGAGAGGGCAGAACACAGTACTAACAGGCCTCGATGCCTGTGAGCAGAGCATCCCACTGGGCCAGGGTGCAGTTATCAGTGTTGTCAGGCCCATCAGCAACTCCTTGAAATTGGTCAGGAAAACCCATGGGAGAAGCAACTTCAGATTTTGGTCACTACCTCAAGCTGGGTCTTGTGCACCAGAACCATGCAGCGCAGTGACCAGCAGCAGGTACTCAGTCCCAGTACTCTGCAGGCACACAAGCTCTGTTACAAAGGGAAAACTGCAAGAGGATGAAGACTTTTAAAAGAAAATCAAAAGGGCTACCTAGAAAGGATAAGAATTGAAGTGGATGCTGTGAAATTTGCTTAAGGTCACCCTTTGAGAGGGAAAGGATCAGGAGAACTGTTGGGCAGCAGTTTGTTTAATCCTACACAGCAATTCCTGTCCCTGAGCCAGCTCTGAGGATTGCCACCCTGCCAACACCACAAGCTTCAAGCACTAATTACAAAGCTTGGCCTGAGTCTGTCCCTCCACCTGCATGAAACAGACACAGCATTTGCTGCCCTTCTGCAAAGGAAACTAGCCCATGCTTTGGGGAGTGGAAGCATCAGTTCTTTATTAGTGTCAGCTACAGGAACAAGTAAAACTACAGAACCCAGTAAATGCACTAAAAAGATGACTCATCTGCACTTGCCATTTCCTGGGCAACTGAACCGGGCTGGGTTCCACGCTACATTTCACAAGACACTTTCAGAAGAGAAGAGAATTAACTTTGGAATTTTTATACAGGTGCAGGGAGGAAGCAGTAAGGTTTACAATACGCACAAGAAAACAGGGTGGGTGCATTGAAGACAGACCAGTGTCACTACACAGCCATAGTTCCAGAAGCACGGTGAGGTGGCTGCTGTTGTTCTGCCACGGCAACCTTCTCAGGACTCACTCCCAATCCTAGTTACATAAAACAAAGAACACACATATGCAATTTTCAGCCGCTAGAAGAACAATTTGATCCAGACAAGAATTCACAGGTCATCTCTGAACTTGGATTAACTTGGTGTTTCCTTGTGATCACAAGTCAAAAAATTATCATCTTCAAAGGGGGAATTGCTTGCTGATGAGTCTGTCCCACACTCAGCAGCATGCCTGGCTCTCCTGATCTATCCCATGCAGTAGCACCAACATTTTTAAAGCGTATCTGCTGACAAGGTTCTGCAGCACCAGCAGGAAGTCCTAGGAGAGGTTGTGCCAGTCCCCCCGGGAGGGCAGAAAAGCAAGGTCCTTCCCTCTTCCTTCCTGGCAGCACAGGCGTTGCCCTCATGAACACAAGGGGAAGGGGGCAAGGAAAGGAGCAGACAGAACTATGCTGTTGCAGTGCAATTAAGTCTGGAAAATGGAGGATGAATCATGTGATTTAAAGTGGAGTATTACAGCACACACAGCCCCACTTGGTCTGCACAAGAAGCCCAATAAGCCACAGATCCTGAGCACACACCAGCTCCTGCAGCCACCCCGGCACATACCTGGGCTCACTGCAGGAACGCCGCTGCGCCGCCCTTGTGCGACGTCTCAGTGGCCTGGTGTGCCTGGAGAACAGCCACAGCCTCCTCGATCTGCAGAGAGCACACGTTGGGGAAGAGAGGAGTTGCTTTGACATGGGAGAGCACTGCACGGGAACGGCAGTGCTGCAGGTCTCAGTACAGCCCCCACACAAGCCCCACTTCTAGAGCATGAGGGGATTAACAAAACCAATAATAATAAATCTAAGTCTGCTGCTTCTGCTGGGACGTGGATCAGCCCACAGACCACTGCTGCCTCCTCCCTAAGAAAGGGCTGGGGCATTTCTCCTTCTCTGTTGGAGTCCCAAGAGGCCAGAGTGAACTTGAGCTTCTCCATAGGCAAGGCTGCCCAGCAGCACCCAGCAGAGCCCAGGCTCCTCCAAAAAAGTGCCAGCAGAACAGTGAAAGTGAATCCTGCCTCTAAGCAGCAACAAGGCAATGCAGTTGATTCCTTGTGACTGTTTTAATGGGAACCAGAAGCAAAAAAAATCACCGGGATTAAAAACAGAACTAAGTAAATACTATTTCCCTATTTCATTCTGGGAAGCAATGCTCACCCTGCCTTCTCCCCTTCTTGCTTCCTATCCACCTCCAAACCACCCCTAGGGCTTGGCCATGCCTCCAGAGCTGCTCTGAGCCCTTCTTGCTGAAGGCAGGCAGATGCGATCAGCCTGGGGCCCTGTCTGTCACTGTATAGAGGCAGCTACTTTATCTTTCTACAGATATTAAAAGTCCTTGGCCCATCTTCTGGGCTGCAGCCACCTTCCCTCATTTAGTGCTCGCAGCAGCACGTACTCTGCCCTTGGGACATGATGTGTTTGGGCACCGAGTGCCCCTACCTTGGCGTGCAGGGAGTCGGGGGACTCCAGGAGGAGCAGCAGCTCCGAGTTGTCGATCTCCAGCAGCATCCCCGTGATCTTGCCAGCCAGCGAGGCGTGCATCGCATGGATCAGCGGGTAGAGGCGCTCACCTGCTCCGAGCACCGGGGAGGACACCAGTGAGCACTACGCAAGACCTCCAGTGATTTCAAACCCCGTGCAAACCCCCCTGCCCTCCCAGCTCTGTGCTCCCCTTTGCCCTACCCAAACTGCTCTGCTCCCAACCCTCCCGTCAGCAGGGAGGGTTTGGGCACGTAGAGGGAAGCTGCCAGGTGAAGCACGAACCGGCTGCAGGAGCTGGGCAGCACAGGCACCATGGAGCTCTGCCATATCCTTCCTTTCGTTTTTTTTTAAAGCAGCATAACTGAGCAATCCAATAAGGGTACTCCCCTTGCAGCTAAGTTTTCCCCGGTGCATTTAAGCCTGCCTGCCTGTACACACAGCCCCGTGGTCAGGCAGTGGGACCTCCTCCAGCAGCAGGGACACCCACCTATCATTTGCTTCTGCTCCTGAGGAGGGGCTGCTGCAAGCATGGATGCAGTCAGCGGCTCCTGCCCCTGGATATGCACAGCGGGTTCTCCCACCTGGGTAAAGCAAC